GTGAAAAACTCCCCAAAAAAAAAAAAAAAAAAAAAAAAAAAGAAATGGTACAAAAAGTGGCCCACGGGGAACACATCTGTCAAGGGCCTGGTCCTCCAAATACAAGAGAAATCTGTGTTCAAAAGACAAACAACACCCTTTCTCCCCCTTAAAAATGCCTCTGTCTAGAAATTAAGATCACAGCAATTTGTTGATGTAATCGTGGGTGACTGATAGAGTTATTTGCCATTAGCAAATATTTATATCTTTTTGAAACAGAAAACATGTACATAAATAATAAAACCATGTTTTTGAAAAATAATTGACAGCATAATCTCTTTTGAGTGGTGTAAATATAGTAGAGATTGTAAACTCAACTGCAGGAGCAAGACAGTAATGTGAGTGAGTAGACCAGGCAGAATGCAGAACCCTGGGGAGGGTGAAGAGGACGTGCCCTATCTAAGGAATGCAGGAGCTGCTTGGCTCCAACTGACTACTGCCATGTGGGCACAAACGTGTGTGGTGTTATTTTTCAGACTTTCTTTAAAAAGAGAGGTCTAGGGACCAGCAGGTAGTATGGTGGTTAGGGGCACTGAACTTGCACATAGCCGACTGCAATTCGAGTCCCAGACCTGGAGGCTTGCTTTCTCACTTTCCTTCTCTCTCCTTCTCTCTCTTCAAATTAAATAATAATAATAATAATAACACATAAAATTAAATAAAATAATTTTTAAAAAAGGGGCCTAGGGGCCAGCAGGTGGTGGGGTAGTTAAGTCACTGAACTCCCACATGACCAATTATGGTTTGAGTCTCTGGCTTGTTTGCTTTCTCACTTTCCCTCTCTTTCTCTCTGGTGAGCATATGTGCCCCCTAGCACATTTAAAAATAATAATAAACAAAATTAAATAAACACTTTGAAAAAAGAAAAAGGCCTAAAATACAAATATCGATGTCGAGGCTCCTAACTTGAAAAGGAAACTTATTTAAATTACTTAAAATATTAAGTGGGTTGTGCACATGCCCAAAATCCTGAAAGGAGAATGGAGAAGGGATTGCGACGTGGCCACCCCTCGGGGGGTGATTTCTTGCTTTCTGTCTCTCTGTGTGCCTCTGGCGAGTGCATGTCACTATAGCAAAAATCTCTCCTCCCCCCCAAATAAATAAGTAAATAGGTATGTGGTGAAAACAAATGCTTGGGGACAAATATATTTGAATGAAAGTTGAACAAGCTTTTTTATTACAGACTTCTCAGCACATATTATAGTTATATAAATTTTGTGATGCTTCAGAGGGGAACATAGTATGTTATGTTTATTTACTAGGGAGCCCTTCGAATACAGAGCATGATCTGGAACTTACAGAGCACACTTTTAGTACTGTAGCTCAAAGAGCAGAAAAGGTTCAATTCAAGGTTTACATTGAGCATAGCTAATAATTTAGCAAAAAGTAATCTTTTGATTAGTCTATAGCTAAAATGTAAAAAGCAGTATAGTTTATTGGTATATAATTAGGATCTAGTTTTGAATTAAATTAGTAAAGTATGGTCTTGTTCCAAGAATCCACATTTCCTTCTCTTTTTTTATTTTATTTTATTTTTTTGGAAAGATTTTCGCTATAGGGCGCGTGCACTCGCCAGACAGACAGAGAGAGACATAGAGACAGAAAGCGAGAAAGCACCCCCCAGGGGGGATGGTCACGCCACAATCCCTTCTCCTCCATTCTCCTCTCGGGCTCTTGGGCACGCACGCACACGCACCTGGCGTGAGTTTTAAGCCACTGGGTCCGGCACGCGAACCGCGGTCGACTACGTGGGAGTCCAGTGACATAGCCATTATGCTAACTGCTGGTTCCCTTATTTTTTTTAGGTTTTTGTCACAGGGTGCATGTGCTTGCTAGAGAGAGCGACAAAAAGACAGTGAGAGGGAAAGTGGGAAATTACCCTCGGGGGGTGGGTGGGGTGTGTGTGGCCATGCTATAATCCCTTTTCCAGCATTTTCCTCTTTTGGGCACATGTGCTCCTGGCCTGATTTTCAAGCTACTGGATCTAGGACTATGAACCACAGGTAGCCATGTGGGAGTCGAGCACCTTAACCACTCCGTCACCTGCTGGCTCCTCCCTTCTTTTTTAATCCTGTCAATTTAAAAAATATGTTAGTGATATATACTGTATTTGAACTTTAATGGAATCCCCAAAATTAGCTAAGCAGTTGAGGTAATACACAAAGCTTTTGATATAGCAGTACATTAAACTAATAATATAAACTATGACACTAATTAGCTCTAAAATTTGTAAACTGATACTATAACCTTGACAAAAATATGTCTATCATACATATGAGCAAAGATAGGAGAAAAGTAAACCATCTTTTCTCATCCAGTATACGTATATTACGACTTGTAGAGGTAAGTTTATTTTTTGCATCATATAAATTGTCTTTTGTATTTAAAATAACCTATAAAAGTAAATGTTCCTTTACTGTAAGATAAATAAAAAAATGAAATAAATATGAAATGGCCTTTGTAACCATGGTGAAATAAATCTAAGACAAGTATGCAAAATGAAATACTGCTTTTTTAAAGTTCTTATGTCTTCTGGATACTTTTCAGGCCTGCTGATATGACATGCTTTTTTTTTAAATAGAGGTTTTTGCCTTAGGGTACATGCACTCACAGGAGAGAAAGAGACAGAGACAGAGATAGGGAAAGTAAGAAATCACCCCCAAAGGGGGATGGCCATGCTACAATCCCTTCTCCTCCCAGGGTCTTGGGCATGCACACACAAACACATTGTGTGAGTTTCAAGCTACCAGGTCCAGGACTTGAACCACAGCCAGCCATGTGGGAATACAAGGAAGTAACCACTATGCCATCTGCAGGCTCTATGACTGGCTTTTAATGAACACATATAGGTACATATATTCTTGAAATTTATTTAAGGTTGTACTTTTTTCCAGAGGTATAAAAAATATTTAGAAATATTTCTGGGCTTCCCTCTGGAATTCCACTCTACGTTGAGTTCACATGCCATATTATGAAGAACAAAATTGCTTTACAGGGGGCCAGCAAGTGGTACGGTGGTTAGGGCACTGGATTCCCACATGGTCACCTGCAGTCCAAGCCCTGGACCTAGTGGTTTGCTTTCTCACTTTCTCTTGCTCTGTCTCTCTCTGGTGAGTACACTTGCCCTATAGCAAGTTAAAAAGTAATAGTAATGAATAAAATTAAATAACTAATTCTTTTAAAAAAATTGCTTTACAAAAGTAAGTATCCTAATAAAAGTAGTCCTAACTCAAGAGTAAGGGAATCCCACATAGTTTTTTACACTGTGGTTAAATAGTTCAACAGGTACAGCTCTATTTTTAAATGTTAATCTAAAATCTATAAGCTAATATGTAAATTATGATTTAATAAAAAAAAGATCTAGTCAGAAAAATAAAAAAGTAAAATCAGTAATAACTTAAACAATTGGAAATCTATGGAATACTAAGAAGAGAGAAAAAATGTTAAATCCTGTTCACTTACTGGAAGACACTGTGTAAGTTACAGTATCCCCAGACTTTCACTTCTCATCTTTAGGAAAGAGAAAAACATCACCTACCTCACAAGCTGCTATGAAGATTAAGTAAGATAATGGACATGAGAGGACTCTGTAAATTTAAGACTCTATAAAAATATGATGAAACAATAAAAACAGCTACTGTTCTTACTATCCAACAAAGGAACAGCTTGATAAGCGTCACGGCACAATGCTCTGGGAGTTTCTGACTTCCCTCAAGGGGTTCGAACGTCACAAAGAGCAGTGCTACACACCTAAACAAGTTAGCTGGTTAGCTCTGTGTTAGGTATAGGCAACTTGGTTAGGTACACTTTCAAACCTACTTTAGGTAAGACCATTCCCTTCCTCATTTAAAAAGTTAAGCATATCAGAAAAATTAGTAAAACAAAGTAAAATTTGGTTACTTTAATCATGAGGAAAAGAAATGTCAACATTAAAAGTAAATGAAACTTGAAACATAGCAACAGAAAAAGGAAAACATTGGTGAGTTCTATGAATTAATGTCAAAAAGTCAGTAAAGAGAATGTTATTGTACATGCACATTATTTTAAAGGGACAATATCAATATATAAGTATTCTCTGAGCTAAAAAAATTTCCACTTCTCATTGATTCCAGTTAAATACATATGTATACAAATGTATACATATTTAAATATTAATATTAAATAAACTGTCTGAAAACATTTTCTCAAGAAGTATATACAAAGTAATTTTGTATAAATTGCTCCTACCAGAGGAAAAGCTTTAACTTTATTAAAAGATGCATGGACTATTTTATGTGTTCTGGAAAGTAAACATATTTAGTAGCCATAGAATTAACAACAACATAAGAATAGTGAAAATTCCTATTTAATTAAGAAATAAATCTCAGATATTTTTTTACCAGCCTGAAGAAACATCGTTTGACAGTGTCCTTTTATATTATCAGAAATTAAGCCTAAAAGCATCATGCATATGTAAATGCAATCTTTTACCTTCAACATCATCTGAAAAAATAGACAAAAATAAATGATGAAAAGTAGATGATAAAACAGGTTTATGTAGTACTATAAACAATAAAATAAGAGCTTAAAAACATGAAATAAGCAATATAAACTCTTGGAAGAAGAAATTTATTTTAATTTTTGAGAAATCCTAAAAGAGCATATAATTTTAGGACTACGAGATAGATTTTTTGATGAAAATAATGGGTTATACAGTATTGCTAAGGTAAAGAACAACAAAATGGAGTTCATATTAGTTAAGAATTACTATTAATGAAACAGCAAAGTGTCAATAACAGAGTAGAAGAACAAATTTCTTAATATCGAGACTTTAAATATAAACTCTTTCAGGGGACCAACAGGTGGCATGGTGGTTAAGGCATTGGACACCCCCACATGGCTGACCACAGTTTGGGTCCCAGACCTGGTGGCTTGGTTTCTCACTTTCCCTCTCTTCTCTCTCTGGTCAAATAAAAAAATAAATGAACGCATAAATGAAAATAAATAATAAAAAAATAAACTATTTCAGAATGAATACATTTGCACAAGAAAATAAATCTCTAGAAAAAGTGATTCCAATACTGTTTATCCATAGTTCTTTATCCTGTTTGATCCAAAGGATCATTTTTAGATGATAAATTTAAAATAAAGACCTCAAATACACAAAGAAAAAAAAAAGTAGGCTCTAAACATAAACACATTATAAATGAATAACAAAGGAAACTACTTAACTAAAAAAATACTATTACACATTCTTTCTTTTCAAGAACAGAAAAAATATCCATTGCAAACTAAGTAGAAAAAGAGCAGGGCCAGCAGGTGGTTCGGTGGTTGGGGCACTGGACTCCCACATAGCTGACTGTGGTTTGAGTCCTAGGCCTGGCGACTTGCTTTTTCACTTTCCTTTTCTCTTTCTCTGTCTCTCTTGGTCAAATTAAATAATAATAAAAAATAAAATTAAATAATTCTAAGAAGAAATTATCTGAATTTCTAATCTGAAACAATTTAAAAAAACATTTTTTATTCATTTATTTGTTGTGATTTTCTTTCTTTCTTTCTTTCTTTTTTCTGAGAGGTTTTTATTTTTGCTATAGAGCATGTGTGCTTGCCAGAGAGACAGAGAGAGACAGAAAGTGAGAAATCACTCCCCCAGGGGGGATGGCCACGCCATAATCCCTTCTTCTCCATTCTCCTCTCGGGATCTTGGGCACGCACGCACACTTGCCCAGCGTGAGTTTAAGCCACTGGGTCTGGAACTCGAACCGCAGTCAACTACATGGGAACTCAGTGACATAGCCATTACGCTAACTGCTGGTGCCTTAAAAAACCATTTTTAACATGGTGAAACAAGTACAGTATATCTAATTTTCTCAACTTAGAAATAAGTAAGAGAAGGGGCTGGCAGGTGATGTAGTGGTTAAAGGTACTGGACTCCTTCACAGCCGACTGCAATTCAAGTCCCGGACCTGGCAGCTTGCTTTCTCACTTTTCCCCTTCCTCTGTCTCTCTCTGTCTTTTCTGGTGAGTTAATAATAATAATAACACATAAAATTAAATAAATTATTAAAGAAAAAGAAAAGAAAGAAGAAAAACATCTTTTTTCTTCAAAGTGTGTGCTTGTATGCTGTCATGTGACCAATAACCTCTTTTTCTATGTACTATATTTTCCAAGCTTACTAAATATTCTTCACTCCTGAGTGGTTAATGAAGTTGCACTGTAAGCTAATATCACAGAGAAATGACAATGAAAGAAAAAGGCTATTTAAGAGAATTGTGATTATTCAATGTAACTAGTTTTAAATGTTCCTATTACGAATATTCTATGAGATTAATATGTACATACCTTCCTGGTCTACTTTTATTTTCATATTTTTTACATCCAGAGTCAATACACATCAACATTTCTTTATGATTTATCTGCTCCGAATTTTGAAAGATCACGTAACTCGGGCTTCTCATTTTGGCAGACCCTAAAGATAAGACACTTCGGAACTACCCCAAGAAGCTGCTGGAGCACAAGGAGGTTGATGGCCATCTTAAGGAGTTAAGGGAACGATGAAAAGAATTTAGTGAGCAGTATGAAAAGTCTGAAAATGATCTGAAGGCCCTACAAAGTGTTGGGCAGATTGTGGGAGAAGTCCCTTAACAATTAACTGAAGAAAAACTTATTGTTAAAGCTACGAATGGTCCAAGATGTACTGTGGGTTGTCACTGACAGCTTGACAAAAGTAAGCTGAAGCCAGGAACGAGAGCTGCTTTGGATATGACTAAACTGACCATCATGAGATATTTGCCAAGCGAGGTGGATCCACCGGGAGAAAGGTTTCCAATTCTGAGGTTGGGAGGGCTGTCAGAACAGATTCGGGAGTTAAGAGAGATCAAACAGTTACCTCTTACAAACCCAGAATTATTCCAGAATAATACCCCCAAAAGGCTGTTATAGGGGCTGCCAGGTACAGGAAAAACACTCTTGGCACAAGCTGTTGCTAGCCAGCTGGACTGCAATTTCTTAAAGTGGTATCTAGTTCTACTGTAGACAAGGACATTGGCAAAAGTGCTTGTTTGATCAGAGAAATGTTTAATTATGCCAGGAACCATCAGCCATGCATTATTTTTATGGATGAAATAGATGCTATTGGTGGTCATTGGTTTTCTGGGGGTACTTCGGTCGACAGATTCAGAGAATTTTAATGGAGTTAATGAATCACAGGGATGGATTTGATACTCTGCATAGAGTCAAAATGATTGCGGTGACAGACCCTGGATCCTGCTTGGCTGCGTACAGAAAGATTAGACAGAAAAATACATATTGATTTACCAAACAGACAGGCAAGATTAGATATATTAAAAATCCATGCAGGTCCCATTACAATGCATGGTGAAATAGATTATGAATCAATTATGAAGCTTTTAGATGGCTTTAATGGAGCAGACCTGAGGAACATTTGTACTGAAGTAGGTATGTGTGCAATTCATGCTGATAGTGATTTTTATAGTACAGGAAGACTTCAGGAAAGCAGTCAGAAAAGTGGCTGATTCTAAAAAGTTAACAGTCTAAATTGGACTACAAACTTGTGTAATTTAACGAAAGATTTTTGATGGCTACATGACAGACATTGGCTTAATGCAAAAATGAAGTTAAGGAAAATAATATACATACTGGCAATAATCTCATTAAAAGTACCTGAATAAAAATATGTAGGAGTAACATTGTAAAAAAAAAAAAAATCACATAACTTCAGCCTAAGTTATATTTTAAAATGCACGCATATGACCACCCTTCTAATGTTACAGAATAACACGCCCTGTCCCACTGCAGTAGCCAATTTGATATGAGGAGTACACTCCTCAATGACACTGAGAAATGTTATTCACTGTACATGTTTTTGCAATATGCAGAACATAATGTGAACCAACATCCAATCAGGCATTTTGCAGAGTGACAATGACAGGCTACACTGGTGTAACTATGCAAGCATTTTGGAATAAAAGAGGAGGAGAAGGATATACCAAAGAAACATGTGAATTTCAAAGTAATTCATACTACTGCACACCAAGCAAATTTAATGAAAAGAAAAAAGATCTTTCTGTATTTAATAAATTGTTGTTCTTTATAAATTAACGTAGTGATAGATTAAAAAAATCCAAGTTTTTATTATTGAAAAAGCCTCCAAATTTGTATTGCTCACCAAGTAATAATATCTAACTATACTAGTATAATTCTCAGTCAATAACCAAAAATGATTGTTTAACCCAAAACTGGCTAATATGCATCACTAACTAAAACCAAATAGAGGGCAAAAATATTACTTAAAAAAGAAAAATCTAAAAAAAGATCTTATTCCAACTCATAATATGTAATTATACACAAAGCAATCATCCTAAAGTATTTTTCTAAAACTAAGACTATATCTTTAATTTTTTTAAAGGAAAAAACTCATAAATAAATTTGTAAAATTAACCCAACTTTAAAATCAGCAAAACTGGCATAACAAAGTAAATTTTAGACATAAAAACACAGTAAAAATCACCAGAAACTTACCTACTTCTTCCTCTTCATCATTAGATATTATATTACATAGTGTTTCCAAAGCATATCCTATTATTTCAGAATCCGAACTGTAAAAAAGAAATTATTACAGTTACACTTTGTTAGAGTATAAGCTATTATAACTATTTTAGACAATTATTTAATAAGACCATATGAAACAATTCCATTTCTGAAGAAATGTAATTTCTTACACCTACTTCAAGAAGTTAGCAGAGTGTAAACAACAAAGTTGTGTAAAACCTTATTTGTAATTGTGAAAAACAATTAGCAATGTAAATGTTCAATTAAAAAAATAGTATGGGGACCAGCAGAGGGTATAGTGGCTACGTTGCGGGACTCCCATGTAGTCAACCACGGTTGAGTCCCACACCTGGTGGCTTAGCACTCACGCTGGGTGTATCTGTGTGCATGTCCAAGATCCCAAGATGAAAATGGACAAGTGATCGCAGTGTGGCCATCCCCCCAGGGGATAATTTCTCACTTTCTGTCTCTGTCTGTCTCTATAACAAAAATCTCTCTTAAAAAAAAGTGGGGGTCAGGACCAGCAGTTGGCGTAATGGCTATGTTACTGGACTCCCATGTAGTTGACCACGGTTCAAGTCCTGGACCTGGTGGCTTAAACTCCACCGGGCGTGTATGCCTGTGTGCCCAAGATCCTGAGAGGAGAATGGAGGAGAAGGGATTGCAGCATGGCCGTCCCCCCTACGGGGTGATTTCTCGCTTTCTGTCTCTTTGTCTTTCTCTGGCTTCCTGGTGAGTGCACACACCCTATAGCAAAAACCTCTCCAAAAATTAAATGGGGGCCAGCAGGTGGTGTGGTGGGTAAAGGCACTGGACTCCCACATGGCCGACCACAGTTTGAGTCCTAGACCTGGTGGCTTGCTTTCTCATTTTCCTCTCTCTGTGTCCCTCTCTGGTTAAAAACAAATAGATAAATAAGGTTAAATAAAATAATACTAAAAAAAAAAAAATAGTATGACAAATTCATACAAATAAGGCATCAATGAAAGAAATGTGCAGTCATATGTCACTTAAAGACCGGGATACAATTTGAGAAATGTAATGGTAGGCAATTTCATTGTTGTGTAAACATCATAGAGTTTACTTAACACAAACCTACATGGTATAGCCTACTACACATGCAGGCTATATTTTATATCTATTTTATTTGATTTTTTTTTAGATTTTTGCCATAGGGTATATACACTTGCCAGAGAGATGCAGAGAGAGAGAGAGGGAAAGTGAGTAATCACCTCCCTCCCCTGGGGGGATGGCCATACCACAATCCATTTTCCTCCTTGGATTTATAGGTACACACACACAGGCACGCCTGGGGTGAGTTTCAAGTTGCTGGATCTAGAACTCAAACAGCACAGCTAAGCAGGTGGAATCCAGACACCTTAACCTCCACACCACCTGCTGGCCCTATTTCATTTTCTTGAATGTTGTCCTAGCTATATCCTCCAGGTCAGTGTTGCTAAAGGCAGTATGAGGAAGCGTCATTATCTCGCATCTAATCTTGCTGTGAAAGTACTCAGTCATTTGTCATTAGTTGTGGGATAAACTCCCTTTATTTAATATTTACCTCCTCTGGTTGTACCCTCCTTTGTTATCTCATCTTCCTCTTCATTTTCTTTTCTTTTCTTTTTTTATTTTTTTTAAGAGGTTTTTGCTATAGCGTGCGCTTGCTCACTGGAAAGACAGAGAGACAGAGAGACAGAAAGAAATAGAAATCATCCCCCAGGGGGATGGCTGTGCTGCAATCCCTTCTCCATTCTCCTCTCAGGATTTTGGGCACACACACACATGCACCTGGCATGAGTTTAAGCTATCAGGTCCAGGACGCGAGCCGCGATTGACTAGGTGGGAGTCCAGTAACATAACCATTGCTGGTTCCTCTCATCTTCATTTTCATCTGTCACTCCTGATTACTTTATTTCACTGAGTCTTTGGGACTTATAGTTCATTCTTGATTTCTACTCTAAATACATCATCCTACATGATTTCAAAATTTGCCTGTATGCTAATAACTATAAAATGTTATTCCTTCTAACATTACACATACATAAGATTCCTTTTAGAAAAGAAAGTATAGAGGAGACCAACAGGTGGCATGGTGATTAAGGCACTGGACACTCCCACATGGCCGACTATGGTTCAAGTCCCAGACCTGGTGGCTTGCTGTCTCACTTTTCCCTCTCTCTTCCTCTCTCTCTGTGTCTCTCTCTGGTCAAATTAAAATAAATGAATGAATTAAAAAAATTAAATAAATAATTCTCTCTCTCTCTCTCTCTATATATATATATGTATATAAAATATACATATATATATAAATAAAAGAAGGTATAGAAAAGGGAATCAAACTCTAGTAGTTCAACTAGCAAATACATTAACATTTATGTGTGTGTGTATGTATGTATATATGGATATGTACATGGATATAAGTAAAGCACACACATAAAATTAGCTGGGTTGTACTTGTTTTGGTGGTTTTAAAGTTGGGTTTATTATGTTGTTAAAGATATAGATATAAGGGAACAAACAACTGGGCATTGCTAAAATATAACTGACAAAGAGGCTATGAAGTTAGTCAGACAGGCAGTACTACAATCTTTAAAACACTCTTATTCAGGACCAGCAGATGGCACAGAGTTATATTGTTGGACTCCCAGCAACTCCTAGCAACTGCAGTTTGAGTCCTGGACCTGGAGGCTTGAAACTCACACTGGGCACGTGTGTGTGCATGTCCAAAACTCCAACAAGAGAACGGAGAAGAGATTGCTGCACAGCCATTCCCCCTAGGGAGTAATTTCTCACTTTCTTTCTGTCTCTCTGGTGCACATGCCCTATAGCAAAAATCTCTCTTGGGAAAATAAAAAAAAAGCTAATATTCTTTATTTTGTTTAAGAAGCCTGGACTTCACATTATACTGAGCTAGTGAAATGTACTAAACAGGTGATTAACAGATGACTTGCATTTTGGAATACAATTCTAGCGATGTATAAATTTGAATGGGGGGACAAAGCGATCGGAGGCAAAAAATACAGTTTGAAGGTTGTGATGGTTTCAAACTCTGTCCAGAACTCCTTTATATAACTCCCTTCAAAAAGTAGGACCTGGGACCAGCAAATGGCATAATGGTTATGTCACTGGACTCCTACATAGTCAACAGCAGTTCAAGTTCCAGACTCAGTGGCTTAACACTTGCCAGGTGTGTGTGTGTGCCCGAAATCCCAAGAGGAGAATGGAAGAGAAGGGCTTGCAGTGTGGTCATCTCCCCTGGGGGGTGATTTCTCACTTTCTGTCTCTCTACCTCTGTCTCTCTGACAAGTACACGTGCCCTATAGCAAAACTCTCTCTCAAGAAAAAGGTAGACCCTAATTTTTCCACCTTTTAAGTACAGGTTATACTCGCTAACTTGCTTCTAATAACTAGAATGTGGTGGGATTGATGGTACATGACTTTTAAGACTAAATTACAAGTCATTTGGCTTTTTCTTTTTTCTCTCTAGGATCATTTGCTCTGGAAGAATCAAGTTGCCACGTCATAAGGATGCTCAAGAGGCAGTTAAAATCTCATAGGAAGATGGGATCAGCAGATGGCATAATGGATACATTGCTGGACTCCAAAGCAGTTGACCACGGTTACAGTCCTGGGCCTGGGGGCTTAAAACTCATGCTGGGTGTGTGTGCATGTGCACCCCAAATCCCAAGAGGAGAATGGAGGAGAAGGGATTGCAGCATGGCCATTCCCCCTGGGGGGGTGATTTCTCACTTTCTGTCCCTGTGCCTCTCTGTCTCTCCAGTGAGCACACAAGCCCTATAGCAAAAATCTCTCTTAGAAAAAGTAGTCTGCACCTCCTGTTTAAATATTTATTAAGATGACAAATGAAAGTATAAACTGTACAAAAGTGAAGTATGTTAGTAATTTCTGGAATAGTTTTGGTGATTCTAAAACAATTTTTAAAAAATTAGTGAGAAGAATGATTAAACAGAGACTTACCGGTCTGTTTGTAAAACATGGATAAGATGTTCCATAGCTTGAATACCCACTTCCAGGCGATATTTCTGCACATAAAGGAGAAAAGTGTTATTAAAATAACTAATTAACCACTTAAACAATAATTTATAAAGCGTTACAAACCTTAGATAATGACTTGAGAGCACGCACAGCATTTCTTCGGTCATCCAATAAAGTAGATGAAGCTACTCTGTCACAAAGTTTTTGAATCTGTCATGAAAAAATAAGATAGCATTAAGAGAATTTAAAAAAAAAAGAAATCATTAAATCTCTCACAAAATTTATACTGCCGAATTCTAAAAAGAAAAAAACAAAAACAAAAACAAACAGCAAATGGGATGTCAAGTGAATGGTTTTTCACAAATCTCAATGCGTATCTATTTAGGTAATCTTCACAGAGAACAAACAGGTTTTCTGCAGAGATGTGAAAGAAAGAAATGGGTGAAACCAAACAAAAGAAGTCATATAAAGTCATTCAGAGCTTTCTAAACATGCCTATTTTAAAGTATATACTTATTGGGCCAGCTGTGCAGCAGAGTGGTTAAATCCTGTGCATAGGGAGCCAGATCCCACATGGCTGACCGTAGTTTAAGTCCTGGCCCAAGTAGCTTGAACACTCCAGGCATATGGGTGCACGTGCCCACGATCCTGAGCGGATGAAGACACGGAAGAGAAAGGGATGGCAGTGGAACCAGGACACATTGGGGAGTGTGCTTTCTCTCCTTCTCTGTGGAGAGCACATTTACTCTTTGACAATAAAAAAATGCACATCAGGGCCAGCAGGTGCACAGTGGTTAAGGTGCTGGACTCTAATCTGGCCGAATGCAATTTGAGTTCTGGACCCCGCAGCTTGATACTCATGCCAGCGACGTGTACATTTGTGCCCAAAATTCCGAGAGAAGATGGAAGAGAAGGGATTGTGGTGTGGCCATACTCCCTGGCAGGTGATTTCCCGCTTTCTGTCTCTCTGGTGAGCACACGTGCCCTATGGGAAAAACTGCTTAGAAAAAAAAGGGTTTTTATTTATTCCATGAGAGAGAGAGAGAAGGCATGCATGAATGAGCACCCCAATAGGGTCTTCATGCTGGGGCAACATCAATGGGGTCTTCATGCAGCAATCTGACCCTAGCTCCAACTAGTCCAGATCATGGGTGCTCACCCAGTATGAACAGGGAAGCCTCAGGAAGCAATCCTGGGACCTTCCCACGAAGGTTCAGTATTGCAAAGCACTGCGTCACTGCTGTGCCACCATAGCTGGCCCTAAAAATGCCCAGTAGGACTGCTTGAACCGAGAGGGGAGCATAATCCATTAGAGCTATGGTAGAAGGTAGGAAGTTATTAAAAATGTTTTAAATTTTAATTGTTTATGGGACCAGCAGATGGTGTAATGATTGTATCACTGGACTCCCACGTCGCTGACTGTGGTTTGAGTCCCAGACCCAGTGGCTTAAAGCTCAAGCCAGGCGCATGTGCATGTGTGCCCAAGGTCCTGAGAAGAGAATGGAGGAGAAGGGATTGCTATACAGCCATCCCCCCCAGGGTGATTTCTTCCTTTTTTTTTTTTTTTTGGAGAGCTTTTTGCTATAGGGCGCGTGCGCTTGCCAGACAGAGAGAGAGAGACAGAAAGCGAGAAATCACCCCCCCCCAGGGGGGATGACCACGCCGCAATCCCTTCTCCTCCATTCTCCTCTCGGGATCTTGGGCATGCACACACACACGCCCGGTGTGAGTTTTAAGCCACCAGGTCCGGGACGCGAACTGCTGTCGACTACATGGAAGTCCAGCGACATAGTCATTACGCTAACTGCTGGTCCCGATTTCTTACTTTTTATCTCTCTGTATCTTTCTGTCTCTCTGGCAAGTGCATTCACCCCATGGCAAAACAAACAAACAAACAAACAAAAAAACCTCTCTTACAAAAATTTGTTTATATTCTAAAATGTCCTCATATATATTGGAATAAAAGACAGAACTGTACATCAAGTTTCTTATTTTGTTTTATTTTTTATTTATTTATTTATTTTCAGTTTTTTTGCCATAGGACCCATGCATCTGCCAGAGACAGACAGAAAGGGGAGGTGAGAAATCACTCCCCAGGGAGGATGGCTACACAGTCCGCACCACTGGGAGTTCAGTGCCTGAACCACCATGCTACCTGCTGGCCCCACAGCCAAGTTAAAGTTTTAAGTTTGTCTTAAGACCTATAAGAATTCAATGCTTCTATTATAAGATAATCTGTATAAATTACAACTAAAACTAAATTTAAAAATAAATCTTGGGGGCCCAGCAGATGACACAGCAGTTACACTGGTGGACTCCCACATGGCTGACCATGGTTCGAGTCTCAGACCCAACGGCCTGCAAATCACGCCAGGCACATGTGCATGCATGCCCATGATCCTGGGAGGAGAATGGAGAAAAAGGGGTGTGGCACTGCCATCTTCCCTGGGGGGTGATTTCACAGTTTCCCTCTTACTGTCTCTGTCTCTCTCTGTTCCTAGCAAGTACACGTGTCCTAAGGCAAAAACGTCTTAAAAAAATTATCCTGGGACTGGCAGGTGGTGTGGTGGTTAAAGCACTGGACTCCCACATGGTTGACTGCAGTTCAAGTCCCGGACCTGGTGGCTCTCTCTCTCTCTCTCTCTCTCTGTGTCTCTCTCTGGTCAAATAAATAAAGAAATAAAAATATTATTTTAAAAAAGTTATCCTAAATAATTTTTTTTAAGAATTATTGCATTTATCTTTATTTATTTATATTTGATGAGAGTGGGATGGAGTGAGAAGAAAGACAGAAAGAGAGGGAAAGTGAGAAAGCAAGCCGCTAGGTCCAGGACTTAAACTGCGGTCGACCATGTGGAGGCCCAGCACCCTTACCCATCACGCCACCTGCTGGTCCAATCATAAATAATCTTTATAACTGACCTTCAAAAAAGTGGTGGTTAAGGTGTTGGACTGCCACATGGCTAACTGTGGTTCAAGTCCCACACCTGGTGCCTTGCTTTTTTGCTTTCCCTTTCTGTGTCTGTCTCTCTCTGGTCAAATTTTTTAAAATAACGACAATAAATTGAATTAAATAAATAGTTCTTAAAAAAAAATATCAGGTAGTACCCAACAGATACTACTTTATTTTTTTTTTTAAAGACAATTTTAATTTGCTATTGAGCACAAGCACTCAACAGGGAGAGAGAGAAAGAGAGAGAAATCATGAGAAAATGAGCTGCCAGGTCCAGGCCCATGGTTGAACCGTGATCAGCCATGCAGAAGTCCCACGTCTTAATCACCACACCGCCTGCTGGCCCTAACATATGCTACTTTAAAAGACTATAAAAGACACATTTACTCAGACACAGAAGTGATCAATATACAGACATTATTACAGTTTTCTCTGACATTGTTACTGCATGATGAGCCAAATGAGAAAACACGTTCTAGTTATGACTCTGCCTTGGTTATTAATGTAGACTATCAAACATCAGCTAGAATATTACACATTTGTAATAACAGTATAAAAAGTGCTCACCAAACCAAAACCACTTCTAACTTTATTTATTTATTTAATTTTTGGAGAGGTTTTTGGTGTGCTCACCAGAAAGACAGAGACAGAAAGCGAGAAATCACACTCCAGTGGGGATGGTCACGCCGCAATCCCTTCTCCTCCATTCTCCTCTCAGGATCTTGGGCACGCACGCACACGCGCCCGGCACGAGTTTAAGCCACCAGGTCTGGGATTAGAACCATGGTCGACTACATGGGAGTCCAGCAACATAGCCATTACACCAACTGCTGGTCCCTACAGCATTAATTTTTACCTAACAAAGCATGTTAAAGCTGAGGAGCCATCAGTTATCAGGAATCAGTGTCTTTCTCCACCTCAAGTAAAAAAGAAAACTCAATAAAAAAATACTCAACTCTAAAATAAAAACACAGCTTAAACTATATTTAGAATACCTAGTACTTCATAGGATAACTGACTAGTCAATATTAATTACTTGATTGGTTCTGAAGAACATCTTAATGCTAGTCTAAAGATACTTTTTTAAAAAAATAATTATTTAAGTTTATTTGTTTACTTATTTTAATTTGACCAGAAAGGGACAGAGTGAGAGCAAGAGCGAGAGGGAGAGCAAGGGAAAGTGAGAAAGCAAGCCGCCAGGTCCGGGACTTGAACTGCGGTCAGCCATGTGGGAGTCCAGCACCCTCAACCACCACACCACCTGCCAGCCCCAGTCTAGAGATACTTTTAACTGAGACTATGAAAAGTGGTAACACAACTCTCACACATTTAGAATATATTTAAATTCAGTAAGAAATAAACAAGAAAGCAGTCAAATAGCTAGTTTACCTGGGCCAATCTCAAAGGCTAGTGGTTAAAGGGATTGGATTCCACACGGGCTTCCTCAGTTTGAATCCTGGCCTTGCGGCTTGAAAAACACGCTCGGCTTACGTGCATGCCCCAAATCCCAACAGGGTGGCGAAATAAAGGAATTGCAGCATGACTATCCTCACTGAGGGAGGTTTTCTCCCCCTCCTTCTCCCTCTCTTTTTTTGGCAAGTACTCTCTGTCAGCCAAGAAGAAAAAAGAACACTTACTGAGTAAATCTGAAAAATCCCTTAAGTAAAAAGTTTGAGATAATAAACTTTAAGTATTTAAGAACTACAGTCTTTAAAAAGTACTGTCTTGGCACTTAATCATTTACAAGTTCTATGATTATAGACCTGTGATTTCTTTCAAATAAAATTGTAACTATTAATTAATTCTACAAGTACGTATTGAGCATATGCTACTTTGTAAAAACAAAAATGAAAATATACATGAACACTGCCCTAAAAATACTTTAGGAGTGTAGAAGGAATGAGATACATACATATATATAAATGGTAGAAACCATAAGAAATGTACGATCTAGCTAAAATACAAAAGTAGTGGGGCTAGCAGGTGGTATGGTGGCTAAGGTGCTGGACTCTCGCATGGCTGACCACAGTTTGAGTGCCTGACCTGACAGCTTGCTTTCTCACTTACGCTGTCTCTCTCTGGTGAGTGCATGTGCCCTAGAGCAAGTTAAATAATAATAATAATAAATAA